TGCACAGGAAAGCACTTTTCTGGTTAGGTGACTCAGGGTAAGGACAGTCTTTGCACAAAGGAGTGCTTTTTAGCATAGGCGAATGGACAAAGGGGATTTTCCATCCAAATAATGAGCTTGGGCTTTGTCAAAAATCTCTAATTTAGTTAAGCTAAGGCTGACTTACTCAAATAGCTCATTAGTTTTCAAAAGACGAGTAAGAGCCGAGGAGGGGGAGGCTTTCGAAAGTAAACGAGACTACAAGGAAGATTATAATTTTGACCATTCCTATGAGTGCTTTTGTCTTAAAGAGCCAACAAAGGGGCAACTCTCTTTCTCTATCTCTGTCTCAGTTTAGCATCATTATATATCAATTTAGAAAAAAACTGTGATTGGTTTTAGCATGAATTAAGGAACTGCTCCTCCATGCTGTGGTTGTGGGGGTAGGGGCTGCAGCCACCTAATAGAGGAATAAGCCGGGGCCATCGGAGCTATCTACATCGATTATGTCGATTGAAAGAGGAGGGGAGACAACTCAAATGCCAGCATAAAAATAGAAAAAGTCATGCCATTAAAAGTGGAATACACCAAGGAAATATAGATTTAAAGGTCGACCTTGCCCTAACTAAAGCGTCAGAGGGAGTTGAGTCTTTGTCCACATAACCAGTAAATGGTCAGTATGTCGTGACCAGCTATGGTTGAGCTTACCTAAAGATCTATAACCAACACCACTCAACCAAGCCAAAGTATTGAACCGGCGAAGGGGATATTGCCCTAATATGGTGTATGGCCCACAAGGTTGGTGCGAGTTTAATAATGCTGGGATAGAGATAAGGGAAATATCCTTACTCATATCATTGATTATAAAATTCTTCGCAAACTCAGCCGCCCCAGTGTCAGAGATAAGAGACTTTTGTTTACTTATAACAAGACCTAACTTCTCTAACGACTGAGTATAGGCTTCAAAAGCTTCTTGGTTGATAATGACAATGTCATCACCTAATATAGTGTAGTCTCAGAATACAAGACCTGGATACACTTGTTGCATAGACCACCACACTAATAAGTGGTAAGTTAGTGCGAATAAAGATCAGGAGGCGTGATACCCGAACAGTTACCCTGCTACAAATTAAATAGGAATATAGGGACCTATATGCGAAAAGTCAGAATTTTTGGGGGCATTTTGGACACTAATAAGGCCTAGAGGGAACTAAATGAAATAAAAATCCAAAATAAGGGCTTTATGCAATTTCAAGAAGTCTGATCATGTCAGCATATGACCTAGCCACACAGCCAATGACCTCACACCGTGTGGCAGACACGCGAGCTTGCCTACGCATGTGTTGTTGCCCTAGTGGCAATTCGCTTGATGCAGATCCAACTGTTTACATATGCAGGAGGTTTGCTCGTGCGACCAGGAAGGAATCCCCGCCGGATCGCGATCTGATGGCTAAGAGAGGTTCCTGCCTAGGCATGATCAATGTCCCATGCGTGTTTTCACTTCTAGTTTGAATGGATGGCTTAGATCGCGTGCGAGTGAAGTGATCAAATGGTCCACACTCAATCACCCCTTTTGCATGATCCAATGACCCATAGTGATTCCTGCCTAAACAATCCGACGATTGAGAGCTTGTTTTACGTAGATCGTGATCAAACGGCTTGCATGCATCCAGGCACAATGATTGCGCAATTGAACGATCCACGTACGAGATGTCGATCACACAGCAAGGATTGTATCCCACTTAATATAATTGAACGATCATATTTTTATCTCGTTTGAAATTCAAACGGATGGCCCAGATCACGTGAGATCTAATCCAACAGTTGAGATCGCATGCATATAAAATGACCAAAACACCCTTAATAAAACCTTAAATCGTGCGGTCAGGGTTTAAGGGCTTTTGATCAAATGGTCAAGATTTAATACTGAACCTAAAAAGATGATTTTGTCGACAAAATCAATAACCAAGATCTCTCCCTAGAGATATAACAGTTGACATCGCGACCATTTAAAAGAGGTTGAATGGGCTCTTCCCCTTATTTTGGGCGAAATGGCCATGAGGTGAGAGAGGAAGGAGATCGCCTTCATACGATCTCCATTGGGGGAATGTGGCTAGTGATGGCAACCGCGAGCCCGAGAGGAGAAGAAGAGAGATCGCCCAGCAACAATCTCACACGAGGAAGAACACAAGAAGAAAAAGGAGAAGGAAGAATAAGGAAGAAAAAATGTATGAGAGGAGTTGTGAGCAGTATGGTGTTGCGAGCGAGAAGGAGAAGAGGAGATGAGAGGAAGGAAGGGTCACGAATCGCATGGTGCCACGAGTGAAGAAGGAGAAAAAACAAGGAGAGGAAGAGGGGGAGATACACAAGGGGCCAATGCCATGAACACAAGGGAGAGAAGTGGAGGTGTGCAGGTAACAAGTGAGCAGCCTAGCCCACGAGTGTTGGGGGATGGGGGGTGGTGTGAGTCACGAGCATCAGGGACTACGAGTGGGGAGTTTGCGTGTAGGCAGCTATGCCTGCATGCCCAATGAGCATGCTTGCGAGTAAAGTAGGATTGGCCGTTATGTGTGGTTATACCCGCATGCGTGAGAGCTTTAACCCATGAACAGCTAAGGCCACAAATGAGCCAGAGAAGGAAGGAAATTAGGGAGAGTGGTGCAGGTCGTAGCTTGCAAGCATGAGAGGGAGAACCTTGCCTATGAATGTGGGAGATCGAGCAAGAAGAAGTCACGAGTGGTCTAGGTCGGGAGCAGGGGACGGAAGAGGTGGTTTGCGGATGTGTATTACCTACGGGCAAACTGGTGAGCAGGTGAGCAAGAGAAAGAGGGATGTGGACTGTAGCTTCGCCTGCAAGTTCTAGGTCAGTTTTCTTGCAGGACTTATGGGATTTAGCCGTGATGGGAGAAAGGAAGGGAGGTCGAGGCATCTGTTATGCACGTTTACCCACAGTGGTGCCAGCAAGCACCCGTGACCTTTTGTGCATGTG